GTCATGGTTCAATTCCTGGTCAGGGCACATGCCCAGGTTGTGGGCTCGATCCTCAGTGTGAGGTGTGCAGGAGGCAGCCAATCAATGATTCTTTCTCATCATTAATGTTTCTGTCTCTCTTTCCCTCTCCCTTCCTCTCTGAAATCAATAAAAATATATTTTTTTAAAAAACACACAGATATAACATATCAGGTGGGAAAACAGAACGAGATTTCATAGAGAGCCCATGCCACTGTCTCATCATATGTACTGGTAGGTGATCCGTAAGCCCTTACTGCTTTGAACAGAGAAGTCGAGTCCAGTCAGTATGAAAAATGGCTCCTTTCCTGTGACCTGTCAGCGGAGCCCTGGATTCTCCTGGTTCGGTGGCTCTGTCAGGGGAAACAGAGACCACCCAGCAGCTCAGACCTCCCACCTTTCTGGTGCTCTCAGACCACATACACTACTTCAACACTGACCACATTCCACCAGTAAGAGAACCATAGTAATTAGCATTTATGGAGCACTTACTATGTTCTAGGTACCACAGACTTCCCTCTTTACTCCTCTAATGACCACATGATAGCAGAAGGATGACCAGGTGGCTACCTCACCTGCTCCAGCTCACGTGACTGGCAAGGATTGGAACCCAGACGGTCCAGTGCAGCCAAAACTTCTGGTGACAGTGCTAACCATCTCTTACCATGCTGCACATGGAACTTGGGTCAAAGGTGTGCCCACATAGAGCCTGATGCCTACTGCATGCCAGCCTAGTGCCAAGCACCTACTGTGAGCTAACCCGGGATTGAGGGCTTACTGTGTGCCGAGCTGGAGCATGCAGAACAGAAAGCACAATGTCATCATAAGTGCTATAAAAGTGAAAACGGTGATATAAAGTAACATTAATGATAGCCAATGTGCAGTGGGGGCCTGTGCTCTCATTTTAGACATAATACTTGTAGCCTTCCCAGTCACTCTCAGAAAGAGGGACTATCAGGATCCCCATTTTACAGACCAGAAAACTGAGGCACAGAGTAAAGGATGTCCTTGTCCACGGACACACAGCAAGTGAGAGGCAGAGTTGGGATGTGAATCTAGAGCGTTTCTGATTCCCAGGTGTCCTGGCTGATGAAATAAAGGGCCAGCACTAGGCTGGGTGGGTGGCTGAATCCTAGATGGGCTGAGGACTAACAGGGGAATTCCACCTGGAGGGAATCTCCAAAATCAAAGTCCTGAAGACCCGGAGTGTTCGTGTCGACTGCAGGTGCACACAGAAGGGCATGGGGAGCTGCTGGGCAGGAGATGGGGTGGAGACAAGCTGACTGGAATGCCAATTAGAAAACCTGTGCTTTTATCAATGGGCAGAGGGGAGTCACAGAAGGTTAATGAGCAGAATTAATCTAGCAATTGGGGGATGGGAGAGTGTAGAATGAATGTAAGACAAGAAAGAGCAAGAGCTAAGAGACTCTTGCAAAGAAGGGTGAGGGTAAAGGGCAAGGGACTTGTTTTTGGTTTGCCCCTCTTCTAGAGTCAGTATGCACCCCAAACCCCACACTCTTCCCTTAGGAAGCCACCCTCCCGAACTCCGTCTCCTGGTTTGGGTGGTGGGTGGGGCTGCCCTCACCCACTCCAGGGGTGGGCATTGACCCAGGTGTAGGCAGCCAGTTTCAGGGATCGGTTCAGGATGGGCACATGAACCAGCCAGGCTAAGGAGAGTTTGGAGACTTCCGAAATCATTGGCAAAGGGGCTCTCTCCCCACAGCGGGATGGCTCTATCCATGGCCTGGAAACTGGGGCAGCTGGTGGCCACTTACCATCACTCAGGGGAGCCTCCTCTCTGGACCACAGGAAAGATGATAGAGGAGAGCGGAGCTGGGAGGAAAGGGGGCTTGAGTGTGGGCACCCCCACCTGAAGGAGCACTTCCCCAGACTTGCTACAGACCAATTTTTTTTATTTTTTTTTTTTGCTTAAGCCAATCTGCACAGAGCTTCTCTCGTTGTGCCTGAAAGACCTCTGGCCATGCACAGACTGAAGCATGAGGCGGAAGCAAGAGTGGAGATGGTGAACAGTGAGTGAAGGAGGAGGGGTGGGTGTGTCCACGCACCAGAAGACCCAGTGCAGGGCCCCAGAGAGTCCAAACCCTGCCAGCAGAAAGAAACAGGAGAGCAGGGCGCAGAACTTTCCAGCTGCCGTGGACAAGGAGGCCAGGTTCGGGGGCCAAGGAGAGATGAGAGAGCGGGAGGCTGGATAGGCGGATTCCATTCTGGAAAATGCTAGGGAAGGGCAGGATAAGAAAGATAGTAGCCAGAGAGGCGAGAGAAGGAGAAGGAGGGTGTTTCAGAGAAATAACAACTCTGAGGGACTGTCAGAGAGGAGAGAGAACCCAGGAGGAAGCCCACACTCCCCTCCCTACAGCCCCAGAGTGATGGAAGCGGAGACCAGGTGCACTTTGCAGCCTTCCCAGGCCCCTGTGCACCTTGTGAGATGTTTGCAAACAGGAAGCTTTTCCTACAGGGACCCTCAGGCCTGTCAGGACACCTGGCTGGGAATTAGGACCACAAAGTGCCCTCCCTGCATCCTGCAAAGGGTGAACGTGTGTTCTGTAACTGCAATTAACCCCACAACCTCCCATCAGAACCTGCTGGGCCACTCACTGAAGAAGCCTCAAGGCTTGAAGAGGAGAACCTAGACCACTTCCTTAGAGTGAAGAGACCCAGAGCATGGGCCTTGGAGCCTGTTTAGCTGTGTGATCTCAAGCAAGTCACTTAACCTCTCTGGGCTTTGTGTACCCATCTGCGGCAGGAGAACAATCTCAGAACAAAGACAAGGCACGCCAAGTGCAGGGACTGTTGTATAAAGTTGCTGGGTGGCATTCCAATCTTTCGGACCCTGAGTTAGGAGGACAGAGCAGTGGGAAGGAACAAGCTTCTGAGAAAGGAGCAAGAGCAAACACAGCAACCCATAATGCTCTTTTCCATTTGTCCAACAGATGGACAGGGAAGGAAGGCAGACGTCCAGCCCAAGCAGACGGGAGCTCTCGGATCCTGTGGTCCATTCATAAGATCAACAAGCTGCAGGGAAAGCATTTTTAGCTCCCCCGCCAGACACTACCCACTCCCAGGCCTGTGCATGGGGGAAGGGTCAGAGCAGAAAAACCCACAAAGCCCAAGGGAGGAAGGAAGTGTTCTCTGACCGGAGCAAGTCCTTCCAGCTTTGCAGGCCCAAGGGCCGGGAGCATGTGTTAGGAATCTATGGACCGGATGGTCTGTCTGCCCCAGGTCATCTTCTCCTACTTGGTGGAGTGAACAATAGCTTCAGAGGGGGAACTGTCTGATGGGGGGTTAGGGGAGTTGGGGGTCGTGATGGATGGCCAGCAGGAGGAAAGAAGCTGCTTATTGACTGTCCCCAAGTTCAGGACGGAGGGAAGCTGGCCTGTGAGACAGAAGTCTCAGAGCCGGCAAAGCAAAAAAATACTGCTGAGTCTCCTCGTTGGGCACCAAATCGGGAGAAAAGTCAAGCGTTTGCACTTATTCTACTTGCAAAAGCATCCGCCACTGTGGTGGAAGGATGGAAGTGGTTGAGACAGGGCTTCTGAGCCCAGATCCTGACCCCACTCACTCTCTAGAAGAAACCCTGTGCACCTTAGGAAATCTGAATTGTTGTAGCATTTTATGTGCCCAGTATTTCAAACCAATCCTTTACAAAAGCAACGAGTAACTATCCAGAGGCAGCTCTCAGGGAGACATTTTCTTTGGAAAAATGTTTTTTTTAAAAGCACAAACCCTAGTACTTCGCAGCCCAAGGCACACACTTCAAAAATACTATTTTAAATAGACTAAATGTCATTTGATGAAGGGAAGGAGCAGTCCCGTGATGCTTCACACAGTTTGTGCATTTATTTCACAAGTGACCAGGCAGTGTGCATGGGCGCGGTCCTGAGCATGTGGCACCCACTGACTCGCTTATACTCCCAACAGCCCCCCAAGATTACAGGTGAGGAAACCAAGGCCCTGGGAGGTTAATTTGCCCCAAACCTTACTGCTAAGCAGTGGCCACTTGGGGATTCAAACCCACCCACCAGGCTGACTGGGAGCCTCCGCCCTAACCTTCAGGCTGCACGCTCTTTGTCTGAATGTATCTGTTTTCAAGCTAGAGGCAGACGGGGGACCAGAAGGAGCCCACTCTCAACTCAGCTACAAAGGGTCCTGGCATCAGTAACGCGGCGCCTCTGCCTCCATTGAGGGTTTCTGGTCCCACACGCCAGGTTTTTAATGATCTAACACACTGGGGACGTGCACTAAGTTTAAACATCGCATTTTGCTTAACGATTGCTGACATCTGTGCACCCACGGTAACCACCGCTCCCCAGACTGAAATACAGGACCTTCCCACCCTCACCCCAGCCTCCCTGTGAGCGGCGATCTCAAGCCGTCCCCAAATGTAGCCACGACTCTGACTTCTCACACCACAGATGAGCATTGCCTCTTTGACAACTTCATGCAAATGGAGTCATAGGGGGCTTTCTGTCTCTTTCTGTGTTCTTCCAGTAAATATTTAAAAAAACACACACATAAATAGCCCGCACACCGACACTGAATGTGGCTGAAAGGATGGTGCAGTGGAGAGTTTGTTTCTCGCTCAGTGAGCTCCAGGGCTGTCTTTATTTTGGCTCACTGACCCATCAAAGGAGAAGATGAGAGAGAGAGGGCTGAACACTGTCATTTGGACCCCAGGGAGTTGGCTGTGGAAAACCAGTGATCCGCAGGGAGCAAGGAGCTGTGCTGGCTGGAGAGGGTACTGCGAAGCCGAGGAAGCCAGGAGGTCACCTCCAGTTGCTCTGAATGGCCAGAGGGGAGAAGGCTCTTGGAGGTTCTAAAACGCTCAAACCTGGTTCCTCCAGCGCCGGGAGGCACCCGAGGTGGCCACAGGCTCTCCCAGGTTGGCCTCTGCCTCTCCTTCCCAGCCATCGATACAATTTCCCAAAAGATCAGTAATTGCCCCCAAAAGGCGCGTCTCCTACCTGTGCACTGTTGGATGAAGTCCTGATATTCCGCTCCCTGCTCGCCGGGGACGATAGTGGAGCCGTCATATTTAAAAGTCACCCTTTGGATTGGGAGAAGAAAAAACACACACATACACGTCAGCGTTGGAAGCCGCACGGTGCCTGCCGGGCTTCCCGCAGGACCATCTACAAGATGCTCAGGCTGGGGGGAAGCCAGCGCCGGCTCTCCACGCCGTCCCGGGCTAAGGCTGCGGAAGGCGCCACAGGATGACCCTCACTCCGACCCATCATCTGGAAGACGGCTCCGTGCACCGGGCCCACCGCGAGCGAGCTCGGGGAGCGGGGCCTGCCGAGCAATGGAAAGCTCCTCACCAGATGACGGCCGAGCCGTCGTCGCGCACCAAGTTGTACGCCTCCCGGCAAGCCTCTTTGTCGATCTTGGTGGCCATCACTGCGGAGCCGCAGGGCGGGGGGAACACTCTGCCCAGAGAGACCGCGCGCGTCCCGGCCCGGCTTCAGAGATCGGGGCGGAACTGGGATGCGCAGGAAGCTGGCGAGAGACGGCAGCGGGGGGCGGCGGGCGGCGGCGGCGATAGCAACGCGGAGAGGCGAGCTCCGAACTCCCAGCGCCTCGGCGGGTGCAAATGCAACTAGGAGCGCGCCTGGACTCAGGCCGCGCGCCCCGCCCCCCCGGCCGCCCCGCCCAGATCCCCTGCGACCATTGGCGGTCCAGGCCGCGGCCGCCACGCCCCCCATATTCATTGGCCGTTGGGCCTCGGGGGCGGGGCATCGTTACGCCTTGGCAACCAATCTCAGCTCGGGCGGGTTGCGCAACTCCTCAGTGGGGGCTGAAGAAGGGGCTTTTTTCCTCCTCTCCGACCTCCTTCTTTTCTCTCTCTCTTTCCTTCTTTCTCATTCCCTCTCCTCTTATTCCCTCCCCCTCCTCTCCTCTTCCCCCTACCTATTCCCTCCCTCTTCTCTTTACAACCTCCTCCTCTCCCCTCCTTTCCTATCTTTATCCCCACCCCCAGCTGTTTCTTCCTCCTCCTCCACCTCTATTCCTCCTCCCCTCCCTTCCCTTCGCTTCCCTCCTCTTCCTTCCCCAACCTTGCACCTCCCTCTTCCTTATTTTCCCCCCCTCCCCCCCTTTTCCCTCCCCCTTTCTCGCCCCCTTTCCCCACCCCCAGCTGCGGAGCTCCACAACGCCACAGGGGACCTCTTAGTGGATGACTTAATGCATCAAACCAAAGGAGACAGCCCCACCCCCACCCCAATGTTTGGCTCCGAGGTTTCTAGGTGGGGAGGAACTGGAAGGAATTAAGCATTTTAAATAGGAGGCGATAGAAAGTGGACTGCTTCCAAAACTGTTGGTGGGATCACTGTTTACTTTGTGTTCTGGTTATTTGCATTCAGGTCTTATCTCCCCCTTTGGGTTTCTCAGAGTACAAGAGCTGACTCATTCATTCTGTCTTCCTCATTTCCTCATCCAGTCATTCCCACAAAGACCAGTTACACTCAAGGCAGGTAAGAGGGCTGGACCCTGGAGACCAGTCTGTCCCACTGCACCCAGCGCTGTCACTTTCTAACTGGATCTTTGGGCAAGCCTCAAAAACTCTGAGATTACTTTCCTGGGAGCCTATATAACAAAGCGCTAATGTGCTTGTTAGACCAAACAGTGGAACAACTGTCCAGACGACCTTCTGAACGAAGCAGGGGTAGGGCCTTTCGAGGCAGGTGGGGCTGCAAAGACTGAGCCCCCTGCACGAATTTCGTGCATTGGACCTCTAGTAGAATAATACAAGCACTACACATTGTAGGTTTATTTATCGTTAATTGAAATTATATGTGCAAACAAATATATTAGCTATTCAATAAAAGGTCATTCCCAAAAGGTCAGGGAATAATAAAATTCTCAGTGGCATACAACAATAATAATAAATCAATAAAGCAATTAATGGTTTTGCTGCTTTTCTGGGCCTAGAGCTGAAATACATCTGAGGCTTAGATGTTATCTTTAGGGGAGAAAAGTGGGGGGGATCTAAACCGCCTGACCAGAGATATGAAAGGTCAGGGGTCCAAACTGCATAACTGGTAAAATGGTAGAGGAGGATAGGTTACCGGCTGGTTCTGAACCTGCCCGCCGGCGGTCTGCTGGCTGCTGGGCCCCCCATGGAGAGGCCGTCTGAAGGCGAAGTCGGTCCAACTCCTGTTCAGGACCCCAATGGGTGAATGGGGCCACATTTCCAGGAAAGTAGGAACAGATGTTGCTGTTTGTGAGGGAGGACCAAACACTCTTCCACCCTAAAGGTTCCTCTGGCTGACCTAGTAATCAGATGAGCATCGGACAGCTTAGCAAGAGAAAATAACCAAATGTAATACATACTAGTACATAAGCATGGGGACCCTACATACATGAGAGGTTCAGAGACAGAAAGGGAATCCTGGGTTTATAAGACATTCTGAGCTGGGGATGAGGTAAGAGGCTTCAAAGGATTATTGCAGGATGAGAAGAGCAGATGCCTGACGAATAGAGTTTGTCCTGCCCAATAGATAGGTCAGAGAGGTCATGTCTGATAATGACTTATTGTGGTCAAGGACCTTAATTCAAGTTCTTCTAGGACCGGCAAACTCATTAGTCAACAGAGCCAAATATCAACATTACAGCAATTGAAATTTCTTTTGAGAGCCAATTTTTTTTTAACTTAAACTTCTTCTAACACCACTTCTTCAAAATAGACTCTCCCAGGCTATGGTGTTTTGTAGAAGAGCCACACTCAAGGGGCCAAAGAGCCTCATGTGGCTCGCGAGCCGCAATTTGCTGACCACGGTTCTAGGTAGTTAAGGGATGGATAGGAGTTTTTCTTGAACCCGAGGCTACAATTGCCTACAGCTCAAAATAATCTGCACACCACAGAGGCATATCTTGGGGTGACTTGTTCTGAACCCCTACTCTATAAACAAAAAGACAACAAAAATTCCAATTTGGTGTCGCCCAAAGCAGTTCCTACCTTACTCCCTGATAAAGGTAATCGAACAATTGGCCACTGGAAAGAAAAACAAAAATGGATCTGTACATCACACCAGCGATCCTGGTAAATTCCAAATGGATCAAAAATTTAAGTGCAAATAATTGAAACCAGAAAGTTGCAGAAGGAAACAAGGAGAGCTCCCATTGTAAGTCTGGAATGGGAAACTCTAAGCATTGTTAGGTAGGAAGTTAGACTTAAGCCGCTGGGGGTGGGACCTGCCCTGGGGTCCTGAACAGGAGTTGGACCGACTTCGCCTTCAGACGGCCTCTCCATGGGGGGCCCAGCAGCCAGCAGACCGCCGGCGGGCAGGTTCAGAACCAGCCGGTAACCTATCCTCCCCTAGGTTTTCACCAGTTATGCAGTTTGGACCCCTGACCTTTCATATATCTGGTCAGGTGGTTTAGATCCCTCCCCAACCTCCCACACTTTTCCTCCCTAAAGATAACATCTAAGCCTCAGTTGTATTTCAGGTCTAGGCCCAGAAAAGCAGCAAAACCAGACCAGTGACTCTGTGGTTGCCTCAGGAGCAGCTACATTGACTAATGACCCTCTGCCCTGGCACCGGCTAATCAGTGGAGGCCAGGCCCTGAAAGGGCACACCTGGAAAGCTGGTGGATAGTCTATTGAGGCCCTCCCCTGAGACCTCCCCTAAGATTTCCACCTGTAAGAGAGATATAAATACTTGGACAAAGGACCCAGCGTGAGCTCTCCCTCCAAGGAGCATGCCATGCCATTCCCCCATAGGCACGTGTCCCCCAACCTCTAAGGGACCCCATGAGACTTGCAACCAGGGGAGCAATGAGCAGTGGCAGCTCGTCCTGAGCTAACCCCCTGTCTCCAAGGCCCCTTTTCTCTGACTGCCCAGGGAGTGAAAGCAGCCCAGCCATTGTCTCTCTAGAGTGGCAGCTCCTCTTTGCGGTGTATTTTCAGTAAACCCGACTTCGTTTTACTTTCATTTTCATTGACTTAAAATATTTTCTGCTTTGAGGAACCAAGGTCCCAGCCAGTAATACCATGACCAAAATTCAGGAGTTATAACAAAAGGTGGATATATTCAAATATTTAAAAAGTCTTGCCCTAGCCCGTGTGACTCCACTGGTTGGATGTTATCCCATACACCGAAAGGTTATAGGTTTGATTCCCAATCAGAGCATCTACCTAAGTTGTGGGTTCAATCCTAGTCAGGGTGAGTATGGGAGGCAACCAATTGATATTTCTCTATATATATCTCTTCCTCTCTCAAAACAAAAACATATCCTCGGGTGAGAATAAAAAAATAAATGTCTTCTTCAAAGGAAAAAAACATATTACTTCATGTGTAAAGTATAAAAGCAAAATGATGCTCAGTATCAACCCCTAATAACAGAAATGCAAATTAAAGCAAAACTGAGAGTTAGCGAGTTAGCAAAAATCACAAAATATATTCAATGTTATGCACTGAGCTTTATTTCTAGTAGCAGATTAGGAATAACCAGAATGCCCATCAGTAGGGGAGCTGGATAAATGGAAAATGATGCAAGTATGCCATTAAAAACTATGAGAGAGAAAGAGAGAGAGAGAGAGAGAGAGAGAGAGAGAGAGAGAGAGAGAGAGAGAGAGAGAGCCCTCGCTATGTATTGATACAGAACTTTCTACAAGATACAGCATGAACAAAGGAAAGCAAGGTACAGAACAGTATACGGAGAACACCTCCTGTTGTCACTGCCTTTTGGATAAAGTGGATGAAAGTGTGCATAGATGTTTACATTTGTTTGCATGTGCATAAAAACCTCAGGAGGAGCATGCAAGAGGAAAATAACAGTTGTGCCGTGGGGGAGCTTAGGAAGAGAAGGATAGTACAGGGAGAGAGGGGTAGGAGGGAATTTTTACCACATGCTATATTATTTTATTTTTTAACCATATAAGTGCATTACCTATTGAAAATATTAAACAACAAGCAAAAAATGTGGCCCCATCCTGAATTTGACTCCTACGTTCAGCATGACTAGAGACTGAATGTACTCCACCTGTAACTGCTGTTCTAGTCAGCGTTGCTGTCGCCCTCTGCTGGACTGAAGAAGTAAAGGGTTGGTTTTAGAGAGAACCCTGATTTTGTGGACCCTGAAGTCAATTTGCCTAGTTAAGGCAGAAAATAAAGGGCACATCAGAAATAAATACTACATGTCAATATTTGTTTAGATTGAGATCCACACAATATAAAAAGCAATCTAATGCAATTTGTTTCTTTAGTAAAGAAATGGAAATATTTGACACTATGTACTATGTATTGTATTGAGGATTAGGGGAGGGGTATAAATTTACGCGTTCGTTCATTCATTCATTTATTCATTCATTTCTGGTGCTGGGCCTATTATATGCCCAAGGAGCACACAAACTCAGTTGCCTGTAGGAGGCAGACACATACTGCAAATGAGCCAAGA